GTGTGTGTGTGTGTGTGTGTGTGTGTGTGTGCGTGTGTGTGTGTGTGTGTGTGTATACATGTGTGGTTACATTCAACTGTTATTATTTCCATGTCTGTCTTTGATGGGTCGTTGCACTCGGAGCATATGGATGTCTATGCATGCATGGATCTGGTGTCGTTTGTGTGTGTGTATGCAGATGTGTGTGTGTGTGTGTGTTCTGACGCTGAGGCGTTTGTGTCTGCGCTCCTGCCATTTATTTTTCTGAGTGGGTGGCTAAACAGTCATATGCCAGTTGTGTGAATGTGTGCGTGTGCACGTATGAGGCAGAATGTGAGCAGTGTGTGTGTGTGTGTGTGTGTGTGTGTGTGTGTGTTGGCTTGGGCTCCATGTGTGTGCGGGTGCGAGGTGAAGTGTCTCTTGGCTGGCCTGATGGAGAGCTGGAGGAGAGCAGAGGTGAAAGAGGAAATTTGCAGAAAAGACACACACCACTTCCCCCTTTACTACTTCTTCTTCTTCTTCTTCTGTCTTTATCGCTCTGTTTTTTCCTCCTCCTCTTTTCTCTTCCATCGTCACCCCTCTTTTCCTTCTACTTCACAACTGTCCTACTTTGTCAAACTCCGTTTCCACCGCTGAATCAGATCATTTTATATGGAGCTCCTGATTTTAGATACAGACATAAAATCTGTGTAACAGAGGAAATATTCCACTTTAAATAACATAATAAGTGTTATGAAGAGCACACCGTGTTGTTTACAGTAAGGGAGACTGACTGAGTGTTTGGTCTGGCACCTGAGTGGGAAAGGCTCCATCAGATCAGATCATTAAATAGTTTCTATCTCTAACTATAAAGTCTAACCGGAAGCCTCTGGTGCTCAGTTAGTGCGCATCTCTTGCAATATTTTGCACATTTCCTGTAGGCACCATTATTTCTGCAGGAGAGAAATGACTGTAAGGCATGGAGGGAAGGTGACTGCTGCTTGTATATTTACTTTATGTGTGCCCTATTAAGAAGCCATCGAGCTCCAGCTTGACGAAGTGGGAGGATGCACAAGGTCCCATTCATGCTGCCATCCCCTCTGTGTTTACTCAGGCTCTAAGCAGGGAGATATGACGTCTGCAACATTTTTTACTTTAAACCGCTTTGAAAAGTTTTTCTAAAATTTATGTTTTTTTTTTTGAAGGGTAAAATAAATTATCTTTAGCTTTATTTAATGACATTGGAAGTCACATCTTTGTATGCCTGACAATGCAAACGTTAAAAAAACATGCTCTGATCGTGTGCGTTTTGGCTCATGCAGCCACCTCTGTAGCTGAACAAGAATGCCCTGCAGGATGGGTATCAGCGCTGACCCCGACTCTGTGCGCCAGACCTGGGGCGAACGCCGATCAATAAGCATCATGTGAGCATCACTTAAGGGCTCCGTGTCAGCTGTTTCCTGTTCGTCCCGAGGAGACAGCCGCCTCACTGCCACGGTGAACGCCTGACTAATGTGCAGAGACATAGAGATCCAATCATGGAAGTAAAAAATGAAATAAAAAGGGGGGGGGGTCTTTTTTCTTTCATAAAGCGGGATGCTATGCTTTTCTGTGTGTGAGAGTGGAAGTGTAGCAGAAGTGTAGAACCAACTACTGGAAATAAATTTCTCTCAGGAAAGCCTTTGATTTCTGTAGGTGTGAAAAAAATACAAAACAAAACAAAATCAAGAGTTTTTT